TGAAATTCTTTGGGGAACTGTTACTGATTTATTAGCTTAATTCCAAAGACAGCAGATCTCACATGTCAAGTATTTCTTCAGTAGAAATGTTAAGAGGGTTCAGAGCTGAAAGTATCAGAACATTGAGAAGAAGCCATTTGTTTAAAATCGCTGGTGTTATATAATCAAGTGTCTCCCTCCATTAATTTGCCAAGAATGAGCCTTTAAACTAAATTGATCTTGCAGGCAGCAAACCGCCCTGTAAGTGTACATCTGTCAGTGTTTTATCTTTGTTCTTATGCTTAAAATAAATTAGTTGCCACTGCCTAAATTCCTGCAATCTGAAGAAGTACGTCTGTATGTCTGTTACGTTTTGCAAATTTTCTTCATTCAAACCACAGCTCAAAGCCATTAAAAAATACTTTAAATTGACTGACTTGAGGGGTTGGGAACACTTATGTAAGATACTCATGTACAGAACTTGCAAGAGTTGGCTGTTTTTCCACGATGTAGGGTCACTGGCTCCAACTCAGGTTGTCGGGCTTGGCAGCTAGTAGCCTCAACCCTTTGAAACATCTCACCAGACAAGAGACTTTATAGTTGCTTTTTTAATTGAATCTTTGACATTTTTCATACAATATACTTGGATGGTATTTAGATCCCCTCAACTATCTACACCTCCCCACTCTGCACGCCACCCAATTATAGATAGATGATAGATCGATAGATAGATGAAAGATAGATAGAAGATCGATAGATGATAGATAGATAGATAGATAGATAGATAGATTAATAGATAGATAGATGATAGGTAGATAGACAATAGATGATAGGTAGATAGATGATAGATGATAGATAGATAGATAGATAGATAGATAGATAGATAGATAGATAGATAGATAGAGATGGGAGGTAGATAGCTAGAGATAGACAGACAGACAGACAGATATAGATAGATAGATAGATAGATAGATAGATAGATAGATAGATAGATAGATAGATAGATATAGATGTATGTGTGTGTGAGAGAGAGATACAGCACCTAGAGTCTGATTTGTGTCCCCAAATGTCCTTCAGTGTGATCTCTATCCAGTTTTGTAAGATACTGTCTCTGCCCGTCCCAGCAGCCATCAACTGCCAAAAGTTCCTGAGGTTGGGTTGGGATTTCTTACCCAGTTCCCAAGTCTATGCTGGGATTTTGTCTGGTTGGAGCTTGCACAGGACTTGTGCATTCTGTCACCACTGCTGTAAGATCATATGAGTGACTGACTAGCTGTCTGGAAGACTGTTTCCTTGTGGTCATTCACCACCTCTGCCTCTTATGATCTTTCAACCCGTTCTGCCTCCATCATCTTTACTGAAAGAGAAGTGATCATGCCTGGGATGAAGATTGGAGTTGCCTCTAAAACATGTCCCAGTGTGACAACAGTTTCAAGAAGTCTTTATAGTAAATAGAACAAAAGAAAATCTTAAATGCAGTCATATTCGAATGCGTGGGTGTGAAGATGTGCATCGGGGTTTGTCTGTTATAACTCGCACATGCTCTGATGGCATTTTTTGCTTTGGGATTTGTGGAACCTAGTGGTCTGCTAAGAACACATTCCATATCTTGTACCTAATCATCGTGATGTCAAACACAGAGGCATGCAATAAATGATTATTAGAGGAACTAAAAATAGCCCAAGGTAACTCGGGCCTGGATTTGCAGCATGCCAGTTCACAATCACGAAGCCTTCATCAGTTAAGAAGCACGTTGCAATGGTGCAGTCTTTAACATGGTCTTTTTTTTTTTTTTTTCCTTCTGGAAACCACAGCTTATAATTTGCACATAAAAATATGGCTTTTCCAGGAAACAAACCTTGCTTTACCTGTCCTTTCATGATATAGAATCACTACTTGGTGCTGCCCACCTGTTGTTAGAGATACAGGTGATATATTGTTGATTACACTTAGTTCTCACAGGTCACAGAGAAAAGGAGTGGTCTTCCTTCCAATTCTAACACTCTGAATTCAGCAACTATGGATCTGGTAACCCATGTGTATCTTCAACCTGATTTGTGAACACCATGTGATTGGTACTTTTGACCATAAAAGGAATAAATGCTTGGTAAATGAAATGCTATTAGGGACATCTGCGACCATCAGCTCTACCATACTGATAGCCTGAATGTAAAAAGAAAAGAAAAGGATTTGGCTGTGGTCCGGTGGTAGAGCGTGTGCATCGCATGCCAACAACTGGGGTTTGTCCTTGGACAAAAAAAAGAAGAGAAGAGAAAGAGAAACAGAGAAGGTGTGAGTAGGCTTTATGTGTGTTGAGCATTGAAGATACTATCCAAGAAATTCTGGAAGCTTCACTTTCCTGTACCCCATAGGTTGGTTCTAGAAGAGCTGTTTCCAAAACTGGACATATTCACCAGACTGCAGGTTGTGCAGGATGGGTCCGGTCTTGCTAGAGAGGCCAGCAATTGACACCGTAGAAACTAGCGACCTGATTAGTCATTGCAAATTCTCAGACTCGTACACGAAAACAAAATTAGCAAGTAGGTTATCCAGGAGAGCTGAGGACGAGAGGGGGTTGCAAAGAGCACACCGTGTTCTAGACAGAATAGTTCTCCCAGAACACAGGAGCCCTGAGAATGGATCCATTTTTCCTTTAATTGGGGAAAAGATAGGATTAAATAATGATTCCTATACAGTCCGTTTGCTTTCATCCATCATTTTCCTACTGGAATGCATGAAAAGATTGTTCTCCCCAAGCAAACATGATTTATTTCATGAGCACTGGTGTAAAGGGCTTGCTAATGAATGCTAGATATTTAAGAACGGTTTTGGCATGAGAGGCTCATTAGTGATTGCTAATTCAAAGAGGGGTCTGCGCACAGTCTGAATTTTCCCAAGCACTGTTTAACAGTCTCATGTCAGATCCCTGTGAGTATTGGAGAGGATTGGGTGGGTGGGGGGAGTTTGCTTTCCATCTACAATCCCGCAGTTGTAACCTTGTCTCTCTGGATGCACAGGATGCTGAGTCCTCATTCAGGCCTGGGATTTTTATTGTCTTGGGAGAGCATGAAATTTTCACGTGCTTTTCATTTTGAGCCAAGACATTGATTTCTGCCATCCAAGTACTAAGGAGACCTGGTTCCCGCTTAGCTTTAGAGACGAGCCAACTCTGCGTGCCTTCAGGGAGGTGTGACTGTAAACCAAAGCGTTCCTTTTTGACCTCCGTCCTTGCTCTGAGGTGCTCCACAAAAGGATGAGGAAGAACGCCAATTGTTTGCATCGATGTGGGGCATCGTTCAGGTTTACTTTGTTTACTTTTCTGCCTTCCTCCCCTTTCTTCTCCGTCCCTCCTTACCTTCCCGTCTCCCTCCCTCCACTCCGGCCTTCCTTCCATCCGTCCTCCTCCCCCTCTAGCCCTCCCGCACTCTCTCCCATTTTCTCCTTCCTTCTCCGCTTACTGTCTTTCTTGAAAGCCTATTGAGTACCGATTTGGACATCATCAAATTGAATTAAAGTTTGTGTAAAGCAGGTAAACGAGCAGAATGCCTAGAAACATGTGCAATTTAGACACGAGTACTCTTCCCAGAAAATGACCTTAGAGCAGGACAGGAAAGCCAGCGTTCCGGGTCAACTTGGATCAGAGAAGAGAAACTATTCGACATTTTGCCACGATGATGAGAAAATAGTGGTGTGTTCTACTTGTGGAAATTGATGTCTTGCATAAAGAAATCCACACTGTGGGCTTTCAGAACCGTTTCTTTTATGACTTTTTAGTGATGTATTTGTGTTTGGATAAGTTTGCCTGGGTCGAGGTGCCCATGGACAGCAGAGGTGTGTGACCTCTTGCCTCCGGGGTAAAACATGACCGTGAGCTTCCCGACGTGGCTGTTGCAAATCAAACATGGGTTCTCCTCCTCAGCACTGTGTGCTCCTAATCGCTCAGCTGTCTCTCCAGACCTGTTTTGTAATTTAATACAAAGGTCCTTCTCATGGTACCTGTGGATCTCTACCTGGGAGTTGACCTTGGGGTGAGATTAAAGGATGAAATTTCCCTTCATAAAAAGGATTTTCTATTTTCATTATATGGAAAAGTCAAGGGCTGAGGTTTATTTGACACCGTTGGAACAATTGTCTTATATGTGTGATTAGCACCACATAAAAGAAAAAAAAAAAGTGGGGCAGAGAGATGACTCGGAAGTTAAGAACACTAGGTGTCCTTCCAGCGTCCCGGTCAGTTCCCAGCGCTCACATAGCAGCTGAACAACTATCACCACCTGCAGTTCCAGGAGATCCAATGCCTTCTTCTGGTCTCTCTGCCACTGCACAGATGTGGTGCACTTACATACATACAAACAAAACCCTCATACACATAAAACAACAATAATAAATACTTTAAAAATTATAAAAGAAACATAGTTGCAAATGTTACCATTTAAATAACAAGTCTTTATTTTGGACATTTAAGCATAGAATGGAATTAATTCATTGAGAATTAATAAGTTCTGGGAAAAGATACTCTACACTCTGTTTCGTGAATATATATATATATATGGTTTCAATTTTTGCTTTTTGCTTTGGGGATGCTGGGAGTTGGACCTAAGTGCTGATGCATGCTAGAGAAACACTAAACTACTGAGCTACATTCCCACTGTTTGTTTTATAAGTCAGGATCTTGCTAAGCTTCCCAGGAGTTATCAAATTTATGACACGCCCTCCTTCGCCTCTGACTTCATGGGATGACACTCAGAGGCCACCGTAATTCGATGCACGGTTTTAGATAGCTATGCTCCAGACAGATTTCATCCCGTGTACTCAGGAAGACAGCAGCAAGGTCCAAGCCTGCCTAGACTACATGCTGAGATCCTGTCGCATAAATGCAAAGTTAACCAGTGTAGATATACATATACGTATATATACATATGTATGTATATACATATGTATATACCTTTGCAAATAGTAGGGATATTTATTGATTTGTTTCTTACCATTGATGACATAAACTTCCCTGTATTCTTTCACAGGATTTTTAAGCACTGGTGACCAGGCATCCAAAGGGAACTACGGACTGCTGGATCAGATCCAAGCCTTGCGCTGGATAGAGGACAATGTCGGGGCCTTTGGTGGAGACCCCAAGAGAGTGACCATCTTCGGCTCCGGGGCTGGGGCCTCCTGTGTCAGCCTGCTGACCTTGTCACATTATTCTGAAGGTAAAGAAGGCATCCCCGTGGTGGGCGGGCAGTTGCACAGAACATGCAAGAAAGCAACATCTCGGGGTTTACAGGCAACAGGCACAGCCTGGTTGCCACAAGTGTACAGCAACAGTGGCTGCCTGTGTCTTTCTCTCTCTCGTCTGCACACCTAAGTTTCAACAAGGAAGGAAAACTAGGAAATTCAGGCAGGAAGGTGCTCAGGGGCTAGCTCAGTGAGATCTAACCCCTGGAAATACTCACATTATGGTCCAAACTGTCCCTGAAAGCCTGAGGAAAGACTTCATGATCGAGCACACGCTCGCAAAATAGCAAACCTGCACGAATGTTGTAACAGATTCTACAAGTGCCCTTGGATGTACCTGCTGTGCCCTGCCACAGCGTGAGCTGAGAAGGCTTCTCTCCCGAGGGCAAAACAGCTCACAGCTCTGCACTGCCTAACAGGGGTGCAAACATCCCCCATGAGACACTTAGAGACAGATCCACATGAAAGAATGCAGTCAGCATGAGAAGCAGGTGGCATCCTGTGAGTCCTGACATCACAGGAGTTGGGAAGGCGATTGGGAGACATGGCTCAGCAGTTCAGAGCATTTGATGTTCTTGCGGAAGACCGAGGTTCCGTCTGTAGCACTTACGTGGCAGCTGACAACTAGCTGTATTTCTACTTCCACGGGAGCTTTCTGGGCTCTGTGGAGAGTGTTCATACATATAAAATAGAAATAGTTTCTAATACCGTGTCCTTCTGAGTTAACTGGTCATGCACATGTCAATATTCATAACACACAGTCTTCAAAACAGTGGTAGACTTGGGTATGCAGTATTATTTAGAATCAGCACCTCAGCATTGTAGTTAGAATTACATCAAGATAAAAAGAATCTAAGAGCTATATTTTTATTGTTATAGTAATCCAAGATTTCATCAATGTCTGTATATAATTTTAAAAGTTCTATTTCATTAGTTGTTTATACGCATGTGTATGTGAATGCCATGTGAGTGCCGTACTTACAGAGGTCAGAAGAGGGTGACCACTTGGAATCACAGGTGGTTGTGAGCTGCCACCTGGGTGCCGAGAGGGGAGCTCAGTTTCTCTGTAAGAGCAGCATGCGCTCTTAACTGCTGAGCTGTGTCTTCAGTAACTGTGTAAATGTATTTATTAGAAAGCATTTCAATTATATTGTATAATAATTTAGCATCTGTTTCTTTACCTCATGAAGCCACGGGTGACCGTTTTCTGAATTTTTCAAAAAAGAGCAATAAATAGCAAAAATTTGTCTTTTCAAATCCCAATTTCTTGGTTCCAACCAGTTCAGGGGAAGTTACGTAGAAACTTAACAATTTAGCTAATTATGGATTTAAAAGATACACAGAGATGAGGATCCTCTATGGATTCCCATAGTAATTTTTAAAACTGCCTAGTGTAACTAGGCCTAGTGGCACATTCCTTTAGTCCCAGCCCTCAGGAGGTGAACACAGGGAAAGCTCTGAGAGATCAAGGACAGCCTGGTCTTCCTAGTGAGTTCCAGGCTAGCTAAGGCTACAGGGAGACCCTGTGTCAACAACACAAAATTAATAAGTAAATACTCTTTTCTGCTTACCTGAAATAAATTTAAAGA